CAACCCACCTTATGACCTAGCCGCCCATCGAAGTGGCCGTAAATCACACTTTCTGGCTGCATCAAGGGACGCAATCGCTGCTTTTCTTGCTTCCCCGTCAGGCGCCACCTTCTGGCCAAATGCTGAGAGGTTCTTTAATGGGGAAAGTGAAGAGAAAAGCGCGGAGCTGTTACTGTCTTTCTATACGAAGTCACCGACACGGCTCCGCGCGGAGGAAGGGGGAATGGGACGTAAAGATTGAGGAGGAAAGGCTAGGAGGAGGACACAGAGGACTGTCTCGGACGCAGCCCGCGCTGCCCCCGGGTAAGGGAAAGCAGTCAGGCGAGCCAGGATGGGGAGCGAACAGGAGCACCACGCGGAGAAAGTGAGAGGAGGTGGGCGTGGCCCGCAGTGTAAACAAACACAGACACGTGGATGCGGGGCGCGCGATGAGAGCGAAGCCACAGAGGAGGTGGGCGTGGCCCGATACGTAAACAAACACGGTCACGTGCGTGCGGGCCGCGCTAGAGGCGCGCGATGAGAGCGGCGTCGCCGAAGAACTCGAGTAGGGCCTCGAAGGCCCGCATGAGGCTCGAGCAGGGGGCCTGGGGAAACCGGAGGTGGTCGAGGCTCACGTGTTGAAGTCCCAGACGACCGTAGGCGTGCAAGTGCCGCCGGCGTTGTTCAGTGTAGCCGGGGCAGTGAAGCAGGATGTGCTCGGTGGTCTCCTCTGCCGGGCATTCGGCACACGAAGGGCTCCCGCTGCTGGTGAATCGAAACCGCCTTGCAGCCATGCGGGAACAGTCGGTGCGAAGCCGAAGCAGGAAGACCCGAGCACGCCTGCTGATGCCGGTCCGCGGCAGCGGTCGTGGGGGGTATCCTGTAGCCACACGTGAGTCCGGGTGTAAAGCGCGCAATACGAAGGTGCGCAAAATCGCTCGCGCAGATGAACGTCGAAATCGGTGTGCTGGGGTGGTGAGCCTCCTTGGCGAGTGCGTCCGCTGTCTCGTTTCCAAGTAGTCCAACATGAGACGGCACCCACTGGAACACAACATCACAACCATTCCGGACGATCCCCGCGAACTTCCGCGCGACGCGTTGCGCAACGGGGGCACCACGTTCTCTACGATCAAGTGTGAGGAGGGCGGCGCCAGAGTCACACACCACTGCTGCCGACTGGGGCAGGAAGTCAATGAGTTGATCTGCCGCGAGATCAAGTGCGGCAAGTTCAGCAGCAGTGGAGGAGGCACTCAGGGGAAGGCGGCACTTTACACGGATGCCGAGGGATGGGGAGAAACAAGCGGCTGCCGCCGAACCGTCCGCTGTGACTGAGCCGTCAGTGTACAGTAGAACTCGGCCGGCGAGCCGCTCCTCTATCGTCGCGACAGCCTATCGTCGCGACAGAGGGCAGACCAAGGCGTGTGCTTTTTAGATCTGATGCCAGGGATGGTGGTGTTGATCTCGAGACCAGGAACTTGGTGCGGCGGGATCGGGATCAAGCTGCAGTAAGGCGGGTAGGGCACAAGCACAGCGTACTCTAAGGCGCGCTGACCCATGCCCGAGTGGGGACGATCAAGGAGTCGTCCAGCCAGGCGTCGTCCCTCGGACGTGAGGTACATGCGGTGTATGTGGCGCAGCGCACTGCCTCTCGCCCGAAGTGAGAGGGACGTCTCGCCAGCCTCCGCCAGGGTGGGGCCGATCGGCGGCAAGCGCGGCAGGCCATACAGGCGGCGTACCACGCCACAGGGGAGGGTGTCCAGCGCGGCCCATTGCTCGGGTCATAGTGCGACGAGCGGGACGGCATAGAGAACCCTGACCGACGCTACCGCGTTGAAAAAACGCAGCGCGATGTCCGGAGAGCAGCCCCCGCCATTGGCAAGGATGCGGGAGGCCATGCCGCCAATCCTCCGTGTGTCGCTGCGGATGGACGCCAGTGCGGGGCTCCAGTTAAGCCGGTGGTACATTGTGAGACCAAGATAGCGCACTTTGCGCTTCCACGGGAGTCGGTGGCCGCGAAGCTGCGCACCGACAAAGCACCTCGTGCGCTCCGGGCGGACGTGCATGGCCTGCGTCTTGGCGGCTGAGAGCTGGAGACCGATGCCTGTGACGAAACCGTCAACTGCGTCAATGGCAGCTTGGAGTCCCTCGCGGACTTGTTGACCACGAAGGGTGGGGCCACTGGTGAAGAGTGCGATGTCGTCCGCATAAACCGTAGCGCGCACCTCGTAAGCAGTGGCTCGCGGGATGTGTTCGATGAGGCGTGCGAGAGCTGCATTGATCAGAAAAGGGCTCAGCACACTGCCCTGCGGCACACCCACTGACACCACCCGAGGACAGCTGAGTTTGCCGGCGACGCGCACACGAAAAGATCGGCCACTGAGGAAAGCCTCGACGTATCGGAGCATGTTCCCGCACACACGCATTTCACGATGGGCGTTGAGAATGGTGTTGTGTGGGAGCGAGTCAAACGCACTCTTGACGTCGAAAAGCACGAGGTATCCCGCCTCCCCACAGTGCTTGGCTTCCTCAAGAAGGCTCACGACGTCCGAGATAGAGTCCGCTGTCGCTCGATGTGCTCTGAAACCGGACTGTTCAGCCGCGAGGAAATCAAGAGCAGTAGCGATCCATTGAAGTCGCCGGAGCGCCATAGCTTCGAATGTTTTCCCCACGGCCGAAGTGAGCGAAACCGGTCGGTACGATGAAGGCTCGGACTCCGGCTTCCCCGTCTTGTGGATGGGAATTACTAAGGCTTCTCCCCACGAGGCTGGTAGTGCCCCCGTGCGCCAGATGACGTTGTAAGAGTCAAGCAGATTCCGAAACTGGGTGGCATCCAAGTTTCGGAGCATCTGATACGTGACGCCATCAGCCCCCCGCGCCGAGCGGCGCCCCCGAGAGTCGAGGACATCGCAAAGCTCCCGGATGCTGAAGTCGGCTGTGCACAGCTCGCCGATCGCTTCCACAATAGCTGGTGTGGGGCAGAAGCGAAACGGCGTAAAGAGTTCGAGCCGTGCATGTGGCCGCAGCTCGGGCATGGTAGCAGCTGCACTGGCAGTGGGCGCACTCGCGAAAGTGTCAGCCAACAATTCGGCAAGTTGCGCGGTGCCGATTCCAAGTGTGACCGCGATGGAGAGCTCCGGATGCCGAGGCACACGAACACGCGCCAGGCACGCCGTTGGTGGAGCGGGTCGTCGAAAGTGCAGCAGAGGCTGGACAAGCTGGGATTCCGTTGTTTGTGGGCGGGGCGTCGACAGACCGCGTCAATGCGGTTGTAAACAGTCCAGTCCTCTGCCTTGTCCGAACGTTCTGCTTTGCGCTGCGCCCGGCGGCGAGCTGCGCGTAGGTTGAGGAGCTTAATGTCGGGCACAGGCGTGCCCGTCGGCACTCGACACACCGTCGTGGCGGCACTCGCGCACTGCACAATGTGTTGGAGAAAGTCGCCCGCGACTGGCACTTCAGCACACAGTTCGCGGAAACCGGGCCAGTTCACAACACTGTACACATTGGTGCGCGGGGCGCCGGTATAAAAGGGCTCCAAGAGGATCGGATAGTGATCCGAGCCCTCAGTGTCCGGCGTGCGACGCCACGAATAGTAGCAGTTGTCCGTGACGAGGGTGAGGTCAAGCGCACTGCGCTTAGCACCGGGATGCATGAATGTGTGGCTGCCATCGTTGAGGATGTGTAGGCCAGCGTGCAGGGCGGCATCCATTAAAGCGCGGCCACCGGCGTTTACACTCGCGCACCCCCACGCCGTGTGATGGGAGTTGAAATCCCCACACAAAACAGCAGCACTTTCGAGGCGATCGGCGAGCCGCACAGTGAAGTCGGCGTCCCACTCGCGCGACGAGTGCACATAGAGGCTCGCGAACTCAAGTGTCTGTCGTGCCAACACGCACCCTCACTGCCACACACTCGACGCCGCACCGAGGATGTCAGATACGTCGAGATGCACTTGGGGAAGGCGCGCGCGCACGTAGAGAGAGGCCCTTGCCAGGCCCTGTTGGTGCGCCGGGTTGTTGCAATGCGTGCTTAGGCACGCGCTGTTCCTGCAGCTCGTGGCCCCGTGGTAAGCCATATAACGTGGTAGGTTGAGGGCCCCATCACGAACTCGCGTCTCTTGGAGTGCCAGGACGTCGAGGCTGCGCTGGGGCAGTGAGCGGGCGAGCTCAGGGATACGGCAGCGGAGGGAACGCACGTTCCACTGGAAAATCCGCGGCCGCGGCTTCTTCGACGCACTATCCATGGTGTGTCAGATCGTGATGTGCGCGCAAAGCTGCGAGGCAGTAGTCGCGCGTCGTCGGGCTGCACACCGTAGTCTCCCAGAGTGCGCGAAGAGCCGCGGCCAGTGCCGTCATTACTGTATCCCTTGCGTCCTTTTGGGGAGGGGGGGGGGACGCGTAGGCTGTGTGGCCGCTGGTGCCGCTGCTGTGGTGGTATTGCCCTTCAGGGCATCGCGGAAAGAGCAGCCAGAGTGTGTGGCTGCCGTTGTTGTCGCTGAAGCCTCCCGTTGAAGCGAAGCTTTTGCTTGCTGGATGGCTTCGCGGCGCGTCAGTTTGCCGCCTGAGGAGGCGAGGAGAAAGGCGGCCTTTCGCTGCAGCTGCCATGACTCGCATCGAGGTTCGTTCGCTGGGTGGGATCCCTTGCAGTTAATGCAGCGGGGTCTTTCTGACGAGCAGGGACCCTCCGCGTGGTTCCCGCCGCAGCGGAGGCAGCGCCTGTCGTGCGAGCACGTTGCTGTGGCGTGTCCAAACACACCGCAACGCGCACACTGCAGTGGACGCGGGAGGCGCGCCCGAACCGGCCTCCGTTGTTTGAAGAGCGAGAGCTCAGCTGGCACCACGGTTCCCTCAAAAGTAATAGCCAACGTGGAGCCGCGCCGCGCACACGAAAGAGTCTTTACCGCTGAGATGTTCGCGGCAATAATGTCGAGGGGAATGTTTTGATCCACCCCAAACACCTCCCCAACACACGAGTTGAGGACGAGCACCTTTGCCTTAACTCTGACATCAACGATGGTGGTGATCTCAAGGAGACTCAAGGAGAGCACTGACATCAGAGTTGGGGGTGGTGTCGACAGCGACAAGGTTGCGGCGATGATTGACCCGCACCCGTTGTGTGGCTGGGAAACCGGCGAGGAAGGCAGAGATTGCGTCCCTTGATGCAGCCAGGAAGTGTGACTTACGGCCGAGCGGTCTGAAAATGATCGTCTGGCCGATGGCGTCACCAGCAGGGTCCAGTGGTGATTGCCTAATAGGGGCGCTGATCTCCGCCACCGCCTGAGAGGAAACCGGGCGTGGCGCTGGTTTCTGTTTTGTTGTCGATTTCCCCTTCTTGTTCCCTCCTGTCTGTGGCAGAGAGGAGTCGATCGGCGCGCACAGAGTTATCTTGCCTGGGGCCTCTGTGGTGGGGAGAGGAGGAAAGCTTGCAAAGCCCGCCTGGGGGGAGGGGGAGACTCCGGATGTTGTGGGGAGTGGCACCTCCTCTCTTAGTGGCCGGCTCAGTTCCTTTGGGGGACCCGCCGGGAGAGGGAGGGGGTTGTTGGCCTGAGGGGAGGACGGGGGAAGACAAGCAGTTGACCCACGCTCGCTCTCGCTTCGGGAAAGGGTTGTGGCATGTGCGCCACTCTCTCCAGTGACGTCAGGACTGGGGAGGACTGGTTGAGAGAGGAAACCAGTCTGGGGCTGCACGGATGGATCGCGGGCTGGGTTGGTGCCGGCGGCTGCAGCAGACGACGCTCCCTGCTCAGGCTGTTCCAAGCTCGCAACACTTTCGTTTTCGGAGCTCGGTGAGGTGGCGGGTGTCTCGTGCTCCCAGGAGGAGGAGGAGGAGGAAGACGTCGTGGGAGAGGAGGAACTGGCGCCACTGGATTCTTCGTCTCTGGGCGGTGACTGCGAAGGAAATTCGTCAGTCTGTGTGGCCGTAGAAATGGCGGCTGGCTTGGTAATGGCCGTCGCTCGGCCTCCTCGGTTTCTTTGTGTAGCAGCCGGCCTCTTGGGCGGTTGCTGGCGTCGTGGACACGGTCGAGTCTGTGGCCTGGACGTAGGTGTCTTTTCCGGTTTCTCCTTGGAGTAGGAACCTTTGCGAGCCAGTCGCAGGCTGGCCACTTTGACGGTTGGGCTAGGGCCACATGTTTGTGGCGTAGAGTCCACGTGGTTGGCGGCTTCGTTGAGGTCTGAGAGGAGAGCCTCGGAGTTGTGCGATGGCTCGTTGTTGCCGTCGGCCATGATATGTGGCGACAGACCTCAAATGGAGGTTGAAAAAAAAAGGGATAAGAAAACAAGGAGTTAGAGCTACATAATGCTCTGCCCCCTTGAGAGCCCTGAGAAGGGCTACGCTCGAGAGCGCGATCGTGGGAGCAGAACAAAAGAAAAAAAAAGAGGACACAGGCGTGTCAATTACTTTATTTAAAACAAAGGACTTGAAGGAGCGACGAAAAAACACGTACGCTCCCTCCGAAAAACATCCCTCCTCGACTGCCGGCGAGAGAATCCTCGACTGCCGGACCTCGACTGCCGGCGAGAGAAATCTCTGGCCAAATGCAGACATTGAGGTTGACGTCACGAATGGCGTCGAGATAGACCGGGAACACTTCGAATCGCTCAGGAGGGGACGGAAGCCCCGGCAACCATCTGCTGACTCAGCCTCTCCAGAAAATAAGGAGGCCCCCCCCCCCCCCTCCGCTGTCGTACTCTCGACCCACCACGACGACGTCAGGGGAGAAAGCCAGGAAACCAGCAGCCACAGCCAAGCAAGCGAGGCAGGCCGCGCGCCAGCCGCTCCGAGTGTTTCCCTTGCCCAGGAGCAAGCCCCCTCTCTCAGCAGAACCAGTTTCCCTCAACGTTTTTAGAGTTGGTTTCCCTGCCGTCCTCCCTTAGGCCACTCCGAGTGACGTAGCCGAGGAGCAACATGCTGGGCAAGCAGGCCCTTTCCTCCTCCCTCGCTAGGAGGGGAGCAGCAGCGCGTCGTCTGTGTAAAGAGCTGGAGTGTCCTCCCCCCCAGGCGGGCTCTACAAGCTTTCCTCCTCTTCCCACCACAGAGGCGCCCCCCAACGTAACACTCTGCGCGCCTATCCACCCCTCCCTGCCAAAGTCAAGGAGAAATCGACAAAAATGCAGGAAACAGCACCACGCCCGGTTTCCTCTCAGGTGGTAGCGGAGATTAACGCCCCTATTAGGCAAACACCACCGGAGCCCACCGTTAACACCATCGGCCCGACGATCAATTTTAGACCGCTCGGCCGTAAATCACACTTTCTGGCTGCATCAAGGGACGCAATCGCTGCTTTCCTCGCCGGTTTCCCAGCCAAACAACGGGTGTCGGTTAATCATCGCCCCAACCTCATCGCTGTCGGCACCGCCCCCAACTCCGACGTCAGTGCTCTTCTTCAGATAAGCACCATCGTTGATGTACGAGTTAAAGCAAAGGTGCTCGACCTCAACTCGTGTGTTGGGGAGGTGTTTGGGGTGGACGAGAACATTCCCCTCGACATCATTGCCGTGAACATTTCCTCATCGGTAAAGACTATTTCGTGTGCGCGGCGCGGCTCCACACTGGTGATTACTTTTGAAGGAACCGTGGTGCCAGCTGAGCTCTGGCTCTTTAAACAACGGAGGCCGGTTCGGGCGCGCCTCCCTCGACCACTACAGTGTGCGCATTGCGGTGTGTTTGGGCACGCCACAGCAGCGTGCTCGCGCGACAGGCGCTGCCTCCGTTGCGGCGCGAACCACGCGGAGGGTCCCTGCACCTCAGAAAGACCCCGCTGTATTATTTGAAAGGGATCTCACCCGGCAAACGAACCTCGGTGCAAGTCTTGGCAGCTGCAGCGAAAGGCCGCCTTTCTCCTCGCCTCCTCTGGCGGTAAACTGATGCGCCGCGAAGCCATCCAGCAAGCAAAAGCTTCGCTTCAACGGGAGGCTTCAGTGACAGCGACGGCTACCACACACTCTTTCCGCGATGTCCTGAACAGCAATGCCACCACAGCACCGGCACCAGCGGCCACACAGCCTACACGTCCCTCCCCAAAAGGACGCAAGGGATACGGTGATGACGGCACTGGCCGCGGCTCTTCGCGCACTTCTGGAGACGACGGTGTGCAGCACGACGACGCGCGACTATTGCCTCGCAGCTTTGCGCGCACATCAAGATCTCACACACCATGGCTAGTGCGTCGAAGAAGCCGCGGCCGCGGATTTTCCAGTGGAACGTGCGTTCCCTCCGCCACCGTATCCCTGAGCTCGCCCGCTCACTGCCCCAGCGCAACCTCGACGTCCTAGCACTGCAAGAGACGCGAGTTCGTGATGGGGCCCTCAACCTACCAGGGTATGTGACGTACCGCAACGAGCTGCAGGAACAGTGCGTGCCTAACCGCGCGCGCCTTCCCCAAGTGCATCACGACATATCGAACATCGTCGGTGCGGGCGTCGAGTGTGTGGCAGTGAGGGTGCGTGTTGGCACGACAGACACATGTGTCGCGAGCGTCTATGTGCACTCGTCGCGCGAGTGGGACGCCGACTTTATTGTGCGGCTCGCCGATCGCCTCGGAAGTGCTTCGGTGTTGTGTGGGGATTTCAACTCCCATCACACGACGTGGGGGTGCGCGAGTGCAAACGCCAGTGGCCGCGCCTTAATGGATGCCGCCCTGCGTGCTGGCCTACACATCAACGATGGCAGCCACACATTCGTGCGCCCCGGTGCTAAGCGCAGTGCACTTGACCTCACCCTCGTGACGTACGACTGCTACTATTCGTGTCGTCGCGCGCAGGACACTGAGGGCTCGGATCACTATCCGATCCTCTTGGAGCCCTTTTATACCAGCGCTCCGCGCACCAATGTGTACAGTGTTGTGAACTGGCCCCGTTTCCGCGAACTGTGTGCTGCAGTACCATTCACGGGCGACTTTCTCCAACACATTGTGCAGTGCGCGAGGGCCGCCAGGACGGTGTGTCGAGTGCCGACGGGCACGCGCGTGCCCGACATAGCTCCTCAACCTTCGCGCAGCTCGCCTCCGGGCGCAGCACAAAGCGGAACGTTCGGACAAGGCAGAGCACTAGACTGTTTACAACCGCATCAACGCGGTCTGTCGACGCCACGCCCATAAACAACGGGATCGCAGCTAGTCCAGCCTCTGCCGCACGTTCGACGACCCGCGCTACCAACGGCGTGCCTGGCGCGTGTTCCGAGCCCTCCTCCGCCCCTGTGTGCCCCGGCATCCGGAGCTCTCCATCGCGGTCACGCTTGGAATCGGCACCGTGCAACTTGCCGAATGGCTGGCTGACACTTTCGCGAGTGCGCCCACTGCCAGTACGGCTGCTCCCGTGCCCGTGCTGCCGCCACATGCACGGCCCGAACTCTTTGCGCCCTTTCGCTTCTTCCCCACACTAGCCATCGTGGAAGTGATCGGCGAGCTGTGTACAGCCAACTTCAGCATCCAGGAGCTTCGCGATGTGTTCGACTCTCGGGGGTGCCGCTCGGCACCAGGGGGTGATGGCGTCACGTATCAGATGCTTCGAAACTTGGATGCCAGCCAGTTTTTGAATCTGCTTGATACTTACAACGTCATCCGGCGCACGGGGGCGCTACCAGCCTCGTGGGAAGAAGCCTTAGTAATTCCCATCCACAAGAAGGGGAAGCCGGAGCCCGAGCCTTCATCGTACCGACTGGTTTCGCTCACTTCGGCCAAGGGGAAAACATTCGAAGCTATGGCGCTCCGGCACCTTCAATGGATCACTTCTGCTCTTGATTTCCTCGCGGCTGAACAGTCCGGTTTCAGAGCACATCGAGCGACAGCGGACTTGATCTTGGACGTCATGAGCCTTCTTGAGGAAGCCAAGCACCATGGGAAGGCGGGATACCTCGTGCTTTTCGACGTCAACGGTGCGTTTGTCTCGCTCCCACACAACACCATCCTCGACGCCCTTCGTGAGATGCGTGTGTTGGGAACATGCTCCAATATGTCGAGGCTTTCCTCAGTGGCCGGTCTTTTCGTGTGCGCGTCGCCGACGAACTCAGCGGTCCTCGGGTGGTGTCAGTGGGTGAGCCGCAGGGCAGTGTGTTGAGCCCTTTTCTCTTCAATGCAGCTCTCGCACGCATCGACCACATCCCACAAGACTCTGCTTACGAGGTGCGTGCTGCGGTTTACGCGGACGACATCGCGCTCTTCTCCAGTGGCCCCACCCTTCGTGGTCAACAAGTCCGCGAGGGACTCCAAGCTGCCATTGATGCAGTGGACGGTTTCATCACAGGCATCGGTCTCCAGCTCTCAGCCGCCAAGACGGAGGCCATGCACATCCACCGGAGCGCACGAGGTGCTTTGTCGGTGTGCAGCTCGTCCTTCCCGGCCACCGGCTGCCGTGAAAGCACAAAGTGCGCTATCTTGGTCTTACAATCGACCACCGGCTTAGTTGGAGGTCCGCGCTGGCGTCCATTCGCAGCGACACACGGAGGATTGGCAGCATGGCCTCCCGCATCCTTGCCAATGGCAGGGGCTGCTCCCGGACATCGCGCTACGTTTCTTCAACGCGGTAGCGTCGGCCAGGGTCTTCCCGCTGCCGTCCCGCTCGTCGCGCTACGACCCACGCAATGGGATGCGCTGGACACCCTCCACCATGGCATCGTACGCCGCCTGTATGGCCTGCCGCGCTCGCCGCCGATCGGCCCCACCCTGGCGGAGTCTGGCGAGACGTCCCTCTCACTTCGGGCGAGAGGCAATGCATTGCGCCACATACACCGCATGTACCTCCTGTCCGAGGGACGACGCCTGGCTGGACGACTCCTTGATCGTCCCCACTCGGGCATGGGTCAGCACGCTTTGGAGTACGCTGCGCTCGTGCCTGACCCGCCTTACTGCGGCTTGATCCCGATCCCGCCGCACCAGGATCCCGGCCTCGAGATCAAGGCCACCATCCCCGGCAACAGATCTAAAAAGCACACACCCCAGTCTGCCCTCCACCAGGAGACTGTCGCGATAATAGAGGAGCGGCTCGCCGGCCGAGTTATACTGTACACTGACGGCTCAGTCACAGCGGACGGTTCGGCGGCAGCCGCTTGTTCCGCCCCATCCCTCGGCCTCCATGAGAAGTGCCGCCTTCCCATTTGTGCCTCCTCCACTGCTGCTGAACTTGCCGCGATTGATCTCACGGCAAATCAACTCGTTGACTTCCTTCCCCAGTCGGCAGCAGTGGTGTGTGACTCTCGCGCCGCCCTCCTCACACTTGCCCGTGGAGAA